CCTTGCCCATCTCATTAGATCAAACAGAATATCCCATGTTGTAGAATTCTGAAAGCATGAAGGAAGGCTCCAGAGTGCCGATGAGGTTCCAGAAGGAACTTGGGACCAGTTCCCTATGGTCGCTCTATCACCCACCTCTATCCAGATGTGTCTTCTTGCCATGACCCTGGCACCATGCTGTTCTGCCTTCGTGCATGCCTCTCTGACTCTCTAACTCTCCGTGGGGCAGGAAGAGTGAGCTTTCTAAATATGGCACCAAAAGTCTCAGTAGCCTGCCTGAGCCTTTCAGACCTCGCTGGGACCTTAAGGGGACGCGAAGGTCATGGCCCACCCACTTCTGCAGTCCCCCAGACCCCTGGTCCAGTCTCACTCCTCCATCACCTGCCTGGGGCCTCTGCCCTTGCTGGCTCTCTCCCCCACCCCCAAACAGCCCGGCTATGTCCCCTCCTTGAGTGAGTGACACTTCTCCCCGTTACCACCCCTTCAGCCTTCGGTCCACTTCAGAGCACTTATCTAACACCTGGCTGCTGGTGGTAGTTTTTTAATTTAAACATACATAAGATAAAATTTACCATCGTCACCATTTCTAAGTGTTCTAAGTGTACAGTTCAGTAGCGTTAAATACATTCATGTTGTCTGGCCCATCTCCAGAATGCTGTTCTTGCCAAACTGCAACTTTGTAGCTAAACCAGCAACTCCCCATTCCCCTCCCACTCTGGGCCCCCAGCCCCTCCGGCCCCCCACCCCAGCCTTCTGGTTTGTGTCTGTGAATCGGACTCCAGCCACCTGCAGGTTCATTTGCGGTGTAGCCCATGGCAGGATTTCCTTCCTTTTTAAGGCTGAATAATATTCTGTTGTGTGTGTATACTGTATTTTGTGTGTCCGTCCATCCGTCAGTAGACACGTGGGTCATTTCCACCTTTGGCTGCTGTGGAAAGTGCTTCTGCGAACATGGGGCACAAGGGCTGCTTTGAGACCAGCTCTCAGTTGTTCTGAGCATATACCCTGAGGCAGAATTGCGGGATCATACGGTAACTCTATTTTTAATTTTTTAAATGGAAATCTAGTTGACCTACAATGTTGTAGTAGTTTCAGGTTTCCAGCATAGTGAGTTGACAGTTCTGCACATGACACTGGGCTCACCACCCCGAGTGCTGTCACCATCTGTCACCGTACAATGTTACTGACTCTATCCGCCACGCTGTGCTCTTCACCCCCGGGACTTAGTTTAGAACTGGTGGTGTGTACCCCTTGACCCCCTTCACTGACTTCACCCATTCCCCAGCCCCACCCTCGGGCCAACACCAGTTTGTTCTCTAGATATAGGAGTCCAGTTCTGGTCGGTTATTTTTTACTTCCCACATAGACATGAAATCTTAAGGTTTTTTTTCTTTCTCTGACTTCACTTAGCATAATACCCCATAGATCCATCCATATTGTCCTAAGTGGCAAGATCTTCTTCTTCTTCTTCTTCTTTTTTTAACAGCTGAGTAATGTCCCTTTACATGTGTACCACATCCATTTATCTCATCAGCGGACACTTGGGCTGCTTCCATAATGTGGCTGTTGTAGATAATGCAGGGAACATAGGGGTGCAGCTATCTTTGCAGATGAGGGTTTCATTTTCTTTGGGTCAATACCCGTAGTAGAATTGCTGGATTGTATGGTATTTCTAGTTCTGGTTTTGGGGGGGAACCTCCATACTGTTTTCCACAGTGGTTGGACCAGTTTCCATTCCCACTAACAGTGCACGAGGGTCTCTACTCTCTACATCATCACCAACACTTATTTCTTGTCTGATTCTAGCCATTCTGACAGATGGGAAGTGATCTCTCATTGTGGTTTTGTTTGCGTTTCCCTGATGATGAGTGACGTTGAGCATCTTTTCAGGTGTCTGTTGGCCATCTGGATGTCTTCTTTGGAAACATGTCTGTTCAGGGCTTCTGCCCACTTTTAATCAGATTACTTCTGTGTTGACGTGTAGAAATTCTTTATATATTTTGCCTATTCATCCCTTATTGGATATGTCATTTGCAGATACCTTCTTCCATTCTGTAGATTGCCTTTTTGTTTTGTTGATGGTTTCCTTTGCTGTGCAGAAGCTTTTTATTTTGGAGTAGGCCCAATAGTATATTTTTGGTTTTGTTTCCCTTATCTCAGGAGACAGATCCCAAAAAAAGTTTCTAAGGCTGATGTCCAAAAGATTACTGCCTATGTGGTTTTTTTGTTTAGGAGTTTTTATGGCTTCAGATCTTACGTTTAGGTCTTCCATCCATTTTGAGTTTACTATTTTTAATATTTTAGGAACTACCATAATGCTTTCCATAGTGACTTTCCCATTTTACATTCCCGCAGTCTGCACAAAAGCTCCATTTATCTATGTCCTCACAAACACTTGTTATTTCCTGTTTTTTTTTTAATCAATTAATTTATTTTTTTGGTGGCTTAGAAAAAAAGTAGCCATTTTAATGGATGGGAGGTGGTATCATGGTTTTGATTTGCATTTCTTAATGATAGCGATGGCGGGCACTTTGTCACATACCTGTTGGCCATTTGTATGTCTTTTTTTAGATGTCTGTTTGATTCCTTTGCCCGTTTTCAACCTGGTGGTTTGGTTTTGTTGTTGTTGCTGCTGCCGTTGGTGTTTTAGCCTCTGGTTTTTTTCATGTGAAGATTTGGTGTGCACCCACTGAGTCCTGGGGGGCAGAGCCGGCCTCACCGACTTCATGGTCTTCTGCCCGCATGCAGAGTGGAGCCGCGCACATGGGTTATTCTTGGTGCAGAAAGACACATGTCAGTCTCAACAGCAAAGGGACAAGAGAATATATTAATTCACACACTCATTCTTGTTCCAAGAAGGGTCAAAGGTTAGGGTCACATCTCTTCGGAACCCCGATATTTGGGGTGAAGAGCGGCACATGGCCCTGAAGAGGCCTTAAAGAGGATAATGCAATGTCCTGACGGGTCTTCTCTCACTACCCTGGGATCATGCTTGTCTGGCTGAGTATAAATCCCGTTTTGCCTAGTAACACTAGTCTCGATGAAACTTCATATGTGTTTATTTTATGGTTTCAAAACAGGCTCCCATTGAGTTTGTGTCCTTGGGTCCTTCCTTCTGAAGGAGGCAGGGCAAGTGTCCTCCCAGCTGCAAAGCCTTCTCCTCCTGCCCCGGGCCTGACCCTCCCCGCCCCCCAGCCCTCAGGACCTGGGTGGGCCCAGCCCTGCATGCTGCCCCTTCTCTCACTGGTGGCCCTCTCCCCGCTTTCTCTCTCTCCCCCTCCTTTAATGCAGGCCTCCATGATTCCTGATGTGGATCATGGCAGCAGCTCCCTGACCAGTGTCTTCACCTCCAGGCATGACGCTGTTCACTGGGGCCAGAGTCCACTTCCCCAGACCCAGGGTTCATCATTTGCATGTTGAATGAATTTCAATGTGTCCGTGTCACCTTCAGGTTCAAGGCCACCCCCTTTCACAGGGCACCCAGGCTTTCACCGCAGCCTCATCCCCTGCATCCCCTACGGATGCCGCCATCCTCTGCCTAGATTCTCCCCCCAACCTGACTACCCGCACCCACCCCCAGGTTCCGACATGGTCCTGTTGCGCCCCGACCTACTCCCCGCCACCCCCACCCCAGCTGATATTGGGCCCTGGCCTGGCGTTGCTTACTGGGGTGCTCTGTTTATCTCTTGGACTACTTGCCTGTCCGTGGGGGTCATTGTGCGTTTGCTTGTCCATTGCCTCCCCGGTCCATGTGCTCTGAGGCTGTGCCAGTGTCCCTGATCTCCACACTTTTGCAGTTAGCCCTGCGCCCCTCAGAGGGTAGGTCCTTGTGGAAAGGAAGCAGGAGAGGAAACAGGCAAGTGGGTCTGCCTTCAGGGTTGCCGTGCTCGCTGCCCTCCCACCCCTTGGCACCATGGACCATCCATTCTCTCATGTCCAGGGATGCAGGGGGCGTGGTGTGGCTCCCAGAGTGACCCCGTCACCTCTGCTCCATTCTGTGGCCACCCTGAGCCTCCCTGAGCCGTGTCTGCATTCTGGTGAATGATGACTCATGGGTGTGTGACTCAGTGTGAACGCCGCACAGCTGGAAAGGCAGCCAGTGTGTCTGCTTGGCCAAGTTCGGGGGTGGTTTATGGAGCAGCAGAGATCCAGGCCCAGGTTCATGGGACCTGGCCATCCTAGCTTGCCGACTGGAAGGAGGGTAGAAATCCTCCCCTGTCCGTGGAGAACGAGGCTGCCACCGCAGGACTTTGTAAGGCTTCTATGTCTGGGGTTCTGATGAGTGTATTGCTGTGCGGTGATACCATTATCGCATGCTTGCCATGGGTGTTGACACTGATCCACCTCTCACATACAAATTATTCCACTTAATGCTCACACCAGCCAACAATAACAAAAATAGTAACAAATACATATAGCACTTACTGTGTGCTGGATAAGAGTTCTGATCCCTTTGCAGCAAAGTCCTCTGATTCTCAGGGAGACCCTACAATATGGGAACTGCTGTCACCCTCATTTTACAAATGAGGAAACTGAGGCCCAGAAAGACCACCTAGAGAAGTGTCCCAACATCTTGTAGGAAATGACAGCTGTGATATAAACTTGGGCTTCCGAGTCCACACTCCTAACCCCACTCCATGCTTCCGTGATGAAGGCTGTAGTCCCATCTTACAGGGAAAGAAATTGCAGCTCAAAGAGGTTGGTTGCTTCTGCCTAGTCACACAGCCAGGGCCTGATTGAGATCGCTTGTCTCCCACCCTGCCTCTGAACCACTGGGCTCTCCTTGCCCAGAGGCAGGGGAGGTAGTCCTCATGGTGTTTCTTAGCCCTCCCCATGGCGGCATCCCAGGGGCCACGTCCAGAGGTTGGGTAGGATTCTAGGGAGGAAACTTTCTGCATCTAAGGGTACAGCATTGGCACATTGGGCTTCAGAGGTCTCCAGTTCGGGGTCCCACAGCACTTCTTCAGCACAGGGTGCTGATGTGGCCTTTACCTCCACAGACAGTGAGACTGTGCACTACCACTATGGGCCCAAGGACCTGGTCACCATCTTGTTCTACATCTTCATCACCATCATCCTGCATGCTGTGGTTCAGGAGTATATTCTAGACGTGAGTGATGCGTGTGGGCCCTAATGTCAGAAGCTGGGGAGATGCCATGTATGGTGAGGCCTCACCCCGGAGGAGGCTGCAGCTCCTGGCCCCTCTGCCTCCTAATTCGCATGCCCTGATTGGTCCTGTTGCCTGGACGTCCCTCCCCACACACTGTGGGTCCCATCCCCATTCACAGCCTCCTTCGTGTGTGGGACGGTAGCACTTACGATGGGAGGGCATCACACACCTGAAATGGCAGGACGGCACCCTCATGGGTCTGTCCTATAGCCTGACTGGGGGATGTTTTCTTCACATCTGGGCTGAAGACCTCCATCTTGCCATTTTCTCAAAATACGTGCCTTGAACTTGAGTGCTCCATGCACACAGCAGGCTTACACGTATGAGCCCGGGTCACGCCCAGCTCCTGACTGCTGCCCTTTCATGGGTGGGAAATGGGAGATCAAAGCCTGCCTTTTAACCATCCACCTGCATACATTAACATGCAGGCTTCTCTTTATTCCTTAGAAAATCAGCAAACGGCTTCACCTCTCCAAGGTCAAACACAGCAAGTTCAACGAATCTGGGCAGCTGGTCATCTTTCATCTCAGCTCGGTGGTATGGTGCTTCTACGTGGTGGTGACGGTGAGTGGCCCTGGGGACTGGGGCCTGGGCTGACGGCGGCTCGTCTCTTCTTGGATTCTCGGATTGCAAATCAAATCACTGTGCGAGGCTGAGTGGGGCTGGGCGGGAGGCAGGAGCAGTTTGTAAAAACTTGGAGCAGTGTCTTGGAACTGAAGCTATTTTTGCGTCCTCCTGGTACGAGAGGGGCCAAGTGGTGTAGCCGCTCTTCCATAAAGGTAGAGAGAGCCCTCTTGTCCGAAAACAAGCACGTGTTTTCGTTATTACGGGATGGTGCAAGAATGACACCGTGCACTTCCATCACCGTGTCATTTGGGCCCTCCCACCAGTGCTGTCCAGTGAGAGGAGCCTTGTGTTCACTCTGGTTCCCATGTTAATGGATTGAAGACCTCCAGGATCGAATTTTGCCGTTTCCCCGTGGTCATGTGGTTTGGAAGCGGCAAGGACCAGACTTGGACTTAGGAATCTGGTTCCAGGTCCAGCACACTTTCCATTTTCCTGCATTGCCTACCCCCCCGTAGGCAAGGCCAGCCTCCCCCCATCCACACAAAACCTGTGCCCTTCCCACAAATGCCTGGACCACCAGACAACTCATCTATTTCTCTTTCTACACAATAGGACTCTTCTTTCGAGCAGCCTTTGATACGGCAGATTTCCTTCGTAGCAAGGAATGTGCACAGCCCTTTGGGGTTCACCGTAACAAGATCTGGCCTGTGGTGCATGACCGAGCAGCCCCCACCCGCCACACACACACACACACTTGGAGCACCTCCTGTTTGGAACTTGGTCTCTTTCCCAAGAGCTAGATTTATCCTATGAGAAATGCAGACCTGGGGCTTGGAAAATTCAGCAACCCTGTGATCTTTTAGAAGTTCCCTTCCCTATCTTCCACTGAACTCTCACCCGCTTCCTCTTCCTTCAGTGACCACGATGAGCTTTCATCGTAACATCCTAAGAACTCCGCATCCAGAGCCGAACGCTGAATTCCTAGTCTGAAAGCGGGAGTCAGCATGCCCTTTTGTATCTTGTTTGTGTTTCTGTTATCATCTAATCATGGAACAATCTTCCTAGCCAGAACATTAGGAGTTCTAAATGCCAGGACCGAAAGCTTCTGTGCCCCAAGAGGGAATGCCCTGTTGAACGGTCCCTGGCGGAAGACCTTCAGTATGGCCTGTGTATGGAGCACCCCCTGTGTTGCACAGTGCACGCCCTGGCCCCCTCGGGTCTGGGTAACAGAGGAAGCATTGCCTCATCTCTGGGTCACTTTTCCCCAAGTAGACCGCTTCCTCACCCCCAGACATTCTGCCCAAGCTGGGAAGAATTCAGACCAGGTTCTAGAGGCCAAAAACCATGCTACTTAACACCCCTTCCAGAATGTTCACTGCTCAACTGCTCTGTCTTTTCTTCTCTCAGGCCTTCAAGGGCTTGAAAACGATGAGCTCTGTAGTCTGGGAGCGTGCAGCAGTTTATATGGTAGAGCTCGTGATAGGCTTTTATCATGGGGAAAGCCAAGTCCCCACTCACCATCTTCCATAGGAAGTGGAGACCCAGGGGACCCTGGAAAGCTCCAATGACCCCAGCTCCTAACAGCACTGGGTGGCCCCTGGTCCGCAGCTAATTCCATCTGTACTGTCCAGTGGGGAGTGAGGCTGCTTGAGGAAGAAGAGAGAGGGTAGTTTTGTAAGAGGAGTGAGACATAGCTAGTGTTCTTTAAATGTTCTTGCTTAGTGAGGATGAAGTCTTTTTTGATCCTTTCTTTCCCCACCCACATTCTGTTCATCAGCAGGTCCTCCCCTCCGCTTCCACCCATGAGCACGTCAGGTTTCCATCGCGCCCACTTTCTGCCCAGGCCCGAGGTCCACAGGGGAGATTTGCGCCCCTGGGGACACTGGCAGGATGCTGCTGGCAGCGGTGGTGGGAAGCCTGGGACGCCACTGAATGTCCTGCCATGCACAGGCCAGCCCCCACGACTGAGAATTGTCCGGCCTCAGGTGTCAAGGGTGCCGAGGCTGGGAATCCCGGTTTGCAGTCCGAGCCACCATCCTCTCTTGCCTGGCCCACTGACCGTTGCCCTTCTAGAAGGGGGCTGTTTCTGTCCCAGTAGCCTGCCACCCAAATCCATTTTCTGCTCAGCCGACAGTTCTTTTTGGAACACACATGCAATCCCACACCCTGTGTCAGAGCCGCTGTCCCACTTGCAGCAAAGTCGTTTTCTTCCTGAGTCTGTGATCTGGGTCCCCCTCTTCTTACCTCTGCTCTCCCACCTCTGCTGGCCCTCTGGCTCTGCATGGGTGGTTACTCTACCCAAATGCTCCATGCCCTGAGGCCATGGCCAACTCCCTCCCAACTAAGTTTCCACCTCAGAGTCCCCTCCTGCAGAACCCTGCCTCCCAGTGTGTGCTGTGCACACCCCAGCCAGTGCTGGGGTACTTTTCTCATTCATGTGTGTGCTCTGCTGTCCGTCTGTCTGTCCCCCGAGCCCTGAAGCTGCTTGTGACCAGTCTGTGCCCACCACAGTGTCTTGAGTGCAGAGCCTGGCAGGTACTGAGTTCTCAAAGCCATGCTTGTGAGGGGGGGAGTAAACTGCAGGCACGTCTTCTTGCTCTGGCCCCGATGGTTTGTCAGATCATGAGTCACTTTTTATAAACTCGTAGATGATCCTCTATTTAAAAAGATGAGCAATACATAAAGGTTTTTTTTTTTTTTTTTAGAAAAAGTGAACATTTGCCCCAGAACCTCCCCCCTAAAATAACTGGGATTTGGGGGGTGTTTGATCTAGACATTTCTGTCTGCATTTATACCAGCAGAGTGATGAGAGCCTGGCTGGACCAACCAATAATGTGGGAGAAGGTCAGCCTCCTTCCTTTTCGTTTACCTTTGAGCTGCTGACTCCTGATTATTAGAAGACAAAACAAGACACCCACGTTCTCCTCAGGGAAGCCGGTGAGGGGGCAGGTGTCTGGTCTCCCTGCCCAACTTCCTTGGGAGGTCTCCCTTCATATCTTAAAACCTGAAGGCTGGTGCCCCATGAGAGCCTGGTAGAGGGAAGGCCCTTCCCTCTGGACTGGTTCCTATTACAGCGCTGGCCCCTTAGAGCAGAACTCGAGTACATGATTGATCTTGAAGGACAAGTGATGTTGGTATGTCTGAGTCTAGGTAGCAGCCGGCTATGTTATGACTGGGTTCTGCTGTTTTTGTGGTTCTCTTTGTCCTTTCACCCAAAAAGGAAGGCTGCAGGGGCAAAGGGAGAGATTGTTCCAGTTTGCTTGTACCTCCCTTAGCTCCTAGGGTAAGGAGAGAACGAAGGACTTCAGGAGCTCCCCCAGCCTCCCTGCCCATGCCTGTCAGGGACCAGGGTTGGGGCAGGGTTGCCACATTCAGCCCCCTGGGATCTCAGGTCCTCGGCCTCCGGAGCTCAGGGAACACCCCAGCCCCTGGCCGCCCTCAGGCAGCTGCCTGGCCTGAGGTCTGGAAAAGGCTGTTCTCAGAGCTGTGAGTCATTTTCCTCTGACTCCTCCGCCCTCCTCCCTGCACTCCCTCCCTGCACTCCCTGCGGACTAGACATTCACAAACAGGCAGCATTTTTCTGGGGAGTTTCTTTGCTTGTTGGCTTCAAACTTCTGACCTCTTTGTCTCCTAAGAAAAGGGGCCAAGTGGAGGAGGGTTCCTGTTTAAAATCACTAGGTCATCTGGGCTTTAGGTTTCTCTGAGGGCTGCTTCTCTTGGCCAGTCTTTTTGGGCAGAAGTGTCCCTCCCACCTCAGTCCCAGATGGACCATTTTCCTCCTTAATTAAGTACATCGCTGCTTCCTCTAAGAAGGGATATTCTCACCAGAGCTTTCCCTGGAATGAAGTAGAGAGTGGAAGACCATATACGTTGCTGTGTACCTGGGTCCCCCTGAGCAGCGAAGAGGGCAGGCAGAGCCGGAGAGTGCTCCTGTTACCCTCCAGAGGCCCCAGAGCCTTCCTTCTCTTCCTTAATGTGTATGTGACCAAGGGAGAAAGGCAGGGGTAAGGAGAAAGGACTGGAAATGAAGCCATGAGAGGCTAGGGCAAGACCTTTTCCTTCAGCTCGGAGTTATCATGCCCACACTGGTCCATGGACCTGACTGGACCTATCAGTTTGGCCACGGTGCTAATGGGACCCCAGGTTGTGGTATGGGGGCTGGGGACCACATCCAAAACATCCAAGGCCTTTTAGTGACTTGAGGGTGGCTGGGTCAGCCCTCCCTTGGAAATCCAGCTGAGGATCACTGGGCAGGAAGTTGAGTGTTGTCCCCGACTCCTGTTGGCTTCTTCCTTCTCCAGAGCCCTGCTAACACCCCTGACCTGAGTCTCAGTGTGACATTTGAGTCTGTCTCCTCCTCAAAGCCACCAGCTCGGTGGCTGACATACTGAGGAAGCTGTCTGGAGGTTCTTGTACCTCAGTTGAGGTTGGTGGCCCAGCTTAGATTTCACCGACACTGCTGAAAAAGCATCTCCTTTTGGGAGCTACTTCCTGTCTTTCCCTTCACTTCCCTGTTTCTGAAATGGGGTTGTACTGCCCTTTCTCTGAGGGACAAATAAGAGCCTTGTTCTTCGCTCAGAAGAGAAACATTGCCTAAAGCATTCATCATTGATTCATTCATTCAACCAACAGGTTTTTATCGAATTCTTGTAATGTCAGCTGACTCTCGTCACAGGGGAGTGGCTCCTCTTGTGTTTTGTAATTTTGGATTACAAACTCATCTTTGGCAAGGTTTTATGCGTGAGAATCCTATATATCCTTGGATGAGAGTATGCCCCAGTGGTATCACTGGCCCACACTATTAATAATACTAATTCCTAAGCTTGGTAGTTCTTGGACCGTACAAGGAGTATGAGTTTGAACTCCAAATCCATGTGAAAGTGAACCCGAGGTTACAGATTTTCAAGGAATAATATATTGTGCTTTTCATCCTGAGCCCAGGATGAGCAGAAATCTTTATCTCTCTTTATTGGTTGTCAGACCATAGTCCACCCTTTCCCTAGTCTAACCCAAGCTTCTGCAAACTCTAGTCTAACCATCTTTTGCAGCCCTTCAGGGGTCCTGATGTTATATAAGGCTCTTGGATTCCACCTCTGGAGGCCCATCTTCTGTTCCCACGTGGGCACGAACACCCTGACCCCAAGATTAGTACCTTCTGAGCTGTTCCAGCCTCACCCCACGGCTCTGGCTTTTAGCCTCCTGTCCCTTTGGAATCCCTTTCTGGGAAAACCCTCTGCATGTAAGACAATAATTGTTAGCTTGCATCCAGCATTTCTAGATGTTTCATGATGGGAGGGCTTTTAGGTTACCTCCCTTACTCTATAATAGGCCCTGGGCTAGGTGCTGGAGGTATAGAGAAGGGTGTGATGAGGCCCTGGCACGAAGGAACTTGTGGAGTGATGGAGACCTCTCGTGACAATGACGAAGTGTGGTAGGTGTCACACTTACGAGGCCTGTGGGGTCCCGCATTCTTTTTATTCATAGTGATGCGAAAGGCCAATGTAGGCTTTTCGTTTTTCTAGTGGATGGTGATTCTACAGTCCACTTGCTTATTCATTCTACAAGCATTTTCTGAGTGCCTTCATGCCAGGCATCATGCTAGACACATAAACATAAGCTATCACATTTATTTCTAACAATAACTCTGCGAGGATATTTTTATCCTCATTTTCAGATGAGCCAACTGAAGGTAGGGAGACTAACAGTGCCGGGCCCACATGCAGACAGTCTTCAGACCCCAGACTAGGGCTCTTCGTACGGTATCATGGCTCTTTCACAATAAGGAAGCCGGCTGAAGGCCGGGTGTGTCCCGTGCAGAGAGATCCTTCATTTTCGTGTTTCCTGTCCCTTCCTCTTTCTGGCAGCTGGGGATGGGGTGCGCCCTTGACCTCTTCCCCTGGCCCTGCCCAGGGCCCCAGCGGTTCTCCTCTCCCCCTCTCTAAAGGACGTCTCTCCTTGCCCACTGCAGGAAGGATATTTAACAAACCCGAGAAGCCTCTGGGAAGACTACCCGCACGTGTACCTCCCGTGAGTATTCCCATGACTGCGTCTCCAAGGAGAAGCAAGCTGGTCCCTGGCTTCCTCATCCCAGCCTGTGGCCAGAAAACCGCGGGCCAGCTGGCACGAGGAGCCGCTCACGCCCCGAGCCTCTTCGGGCGCTGTGTTGCAGACGGCAGTCCTGTCTGCGAACTGCTTCCTCCTAATGCGCTTGACTGGAGACTCCCAAAATAACTTGTCCCGCACTAGCCCCATCACAGAGGTGACGTCTTCACTCCGCCTGCTGTCCCGGAATGCCAGAGGCTGGTGGCTTAGAAATTATACAAAAGAGACATGTTGCTCACAGTTCCAGAGCCCAAAAAGCCCACGATCAGGGTGCCGGCAGATTTGGGGTCTGGGGAGGGTCTGCTTCTGGGTTCATAGTGGGCTGTCTTCTGCTTGTGTCCTCACATGGCAAAGCCCAGGAGCTATCTGGGTTCTCTTTAACAAAGGCCCAGATCCCATGAAAGAGGTCCCCGCTCTCATGACTCAGGTCACCTTCCCAAGGCCCCACCTCCAGATAGCATCACACAAAGAGTCGGATTTCAACCTGTGAATTCTGAAGGACACACACATTCAGTCCGCAGCAGGCGTCCACACTGTCAGAGCACGATCACGGAAGCAGGGCGTCTCTGTAAAGTTCTCTGGCCCCATACCTTCTCGATGACCTGCACCCCCTCACAGTGCACCTTCCTCCCACCCTTATGAGGCTGGTGCTCCTCACGAGGCAGCCCCCCTTCCTCTCCTGCTCTGTGCTGCTGAGACACCAGGAGGGTCTTCCTCCTGCAGGAAACCCTCTGTGCCTTTCCTGAGACCCTTCCAACAGAACAGGGGGCTTACAACAGAGACGCCACCTTTGCCACTTACCTCAGCTCACCCTTCAGCATACCGGTGCCCCATCTTCACTGTCCGTGCTCAGCCTTCCCTTCTCCGAGCCAGGGGACCCTCCTCTGTTCTCTCTTCACCATGTTTGGTTCCCTCCGTGGGCTGCGTCCCTGGAGTGCTCTGGTCTGTGGAGCAGGGTCCCTGGGCTTGGGGCCGATGACCTGCACCCCCTCACAGTGCACCTTCCTCCCACCCTTATGAGGCTGGTGCTCCTCACGAGGCAGCCCCCCTTCCTCTCCTGCTCTGTGCTGCTGAGACACCAGGAGGGTCTTCCTCCTGCAGGAAACCCTCTGTGCCTTTCCTGAGACCCTTCCAACAGAACAGGGGGCTTACAACAGAGACGCCACCTTTGCCACTTACCTCAGCTCACCCTTCAGCATACCGGTGCCCCATCTTCACTGTCCGTGCTCAGCCTTCCCTTCTCCGAGCCAGGGGACCCTCCTCTGTTCTCTCTTCACCATGTTTGGTTCCCTCCGTGGGCTGCGTCCCTGGAGTGCTCTGGTCTGTGGAGCAGGGTCCCTGGGCTTGGGGC